ATTCCTACACCCTATACAACCCTCATCTCAACCATTCAATTTTTAATCAATTAATTGTTTCCTAATATAAAGTATTAATCATAATTAATGAACTTTATTCATATTCCATAAATATTCAAATCATAATAAATGAACTCCCATCATTTCTATAATTAATTGGGTTGTAAGGGTTGTACAAATGCACAAGATTGTAAAAGAAATATACCCTATATATATATATGGGCTAATTCAAATGTTAACCAAAATTATTGTGTTAACTTTGTTAACCAATTTTGACCATTGATTCTTACAATAAACGGTTGTGATTAATCATGATAAAAAATTAATTTTTTAAATTTATAATTTCAAAAAACATATGTGAACAAAGGGGAAAAGGGTATTTATGTAATTTTTTTATGTAACTCCCATATCATTAATTGGGAGTTACAAAATCAAAAAATCTCATTCTTTTTGTTAATGTAAGAACCATATGAACAACATGTGAACCGTATGAACATCTTATGTATATTCAGGAGCCAACTTTGTTGTATGTACATGAACACGTATGAACCAAGACATATAGGGTTGTGTGTTTTTATACGTGCTCACATGTCTTCACATGTTCCGTGTGTGTGTTTTTGTATGAATTCATATGAACATTTAGTGACTTGAATAGACATGAACACTTATGAATCACGGCATCCAAGGCTGTGTGATTTCTGATGTGTTCATATGTCTTCATATGTCTGTGTGTGTTTTTATGTCTTCATATGAACATCTAATGCACTGTGTGTTAACTTCATATGTCTTCACCTGTAAACTGATTGAATATCTCAACAGATCCAGCTCCTGAATATATAGAAGTTGTTCAACAAGTCAGTTGCAGTCACCTTTTTTGCAAGATAAGTGAGAACTGTTGATTAAAACGAATGCAATATCATATTAATTCGTTACCAATATAAACGATTTGATCATTGTCTTCATTTCCGGAACTCGAAGTCCGATTGTCATCGTAAACCATTTTAACCTATCATTCCCATTGTTGTCGAATGAGTTTATCCATATTAGCTTGGACGATATCGAAAACTTTACTATCGGAAATCCTTTAACAATCACAAATTCAATAACATTATCTATACTATCTTATAAAGCAAATTTAACAAAAGTCTTAAAGTCTTAAAAATACTAAATGACCAAGATACCCTTTATATCACTTTTTTACTTTTTCACCCCCTCCTCTCCTCACATACACTCACCCTCTTACAACCAATTTTTTTAAAATTATAATTTTAAATTTACAATTTATATCCCTATAATTAGTTAATTAATTTACTTTACGTCCTTTACTTTTAAATGTTTCATTTTAAACATTTATCAAATTAATATACATAATCGTATATCAGTTAAAACATGTTTAAAAAATACATTTTTATTTTAACAAGTTACACCATTATAATCGTCTCGTTAATACCTTCGAAATAAGTCCAATATAAAATAGTTTTTGACTTAGTTATATTATTATATATTATATATACTGTTGAAAAAATATTTTTAATATTTACGATTTATACTTTTATAGTTATTTATTTATATATATATATATATTATATATTTTGGGGTTAGGCTGTCCAATATAATATATTATGAATTAATATGTTCTTGGGTTTTTTTGAAATATATATATATATATATACATGTATTAATTCAACCTTAATATGAGTTTCTAGACAAGAAAGAGGGTAAGCAGTTGAAATTTCATTTTAAAACCCATTTTTTTTGTCTTTTCATGGCTTATGATCTGTCAAATTTGTAGTTTTCTTTATTGGTTTTGAGTGTTTATCTTAAAAACTCAAGTTTCTTGGTTCTTTGCTCATGGTGTAAATCGAACACATTTGTGGAGTCGTTTAAATATGTTGGATTTTAAATATATTGGATTTTAAACTGTTATACAATTTTTTTCATCGATAGTCTGTAATTTGAACCATAACTCTTATTTATTCAAATTGTATTAATATGTAAAGACCAATTGTAACATATATCATCGTTAAATCTTATCTTATAAAACCAGTGGAACTTCAAAATCGTTAAAATTCATGGCTCCCGCCGTATTGCGCGGGTACACATCTAGTAGATAGATAAATCAAATTTAAAAAACAATCACAAACTGAAAAACAACATCAATATTAAATCATCATTAATTATGGGATTTTAAGATTTTGTAACTCACAATTAATGATATGAGAGTTACACAAAATGGTAAAATTACTTAATTATCCTTGTCATTAACATATGAAATGTATTTGAACCTAAAAAAAAAATTGATTTTCATTTGTTAAGCTTAATAAACAAAGTTAACACAATAATCTTGGTTAACATTTGAACCAAGCGCACACTCTCTCTCTCTCTCTGTGTATAATATCAGATTGGCTGGAACGGTGAGCATCGTTCCCATCCCTGTTAAGATCGAAAAATCCTCGCCCCATCCCCGTTAAGATACTCCTGAACCCGATCCAAATTGTTCGGTTTTCGATTTTTGCAGTTGTTTTTTTTTTTTGGCATCCCTAGAAACCCTCCACCAATGTCAAAATGGCGATGTTATCCTTGAAGAATAGAGGGAGACGTTTATGCTTAATTCTTATGAAGTCGACCCCTTCTGACCTTATCTTTCTTATTGACTACTAGTCCTTCTCCCCTCCTATATATACACAACAGTTGCTTACATTGGGAAAATGGCAGCATTCATTAGAGTAGCGTCCACTTCTTCTCCCACTCTTCTCGCTTCAACTTCTTCATCTTTCTCAATTTTCACCAAATTGAGATCTATACCCCATCTGGGTTTTTCATTTTCAGTCAATACTGCTGCTACTTCTGGAAATCGGTTGTTGTTTTGTTCCCGAAGAGGGAAACGTATGGCTCACACAATTACTAAGGCCACTCTTGGCCTTACTCATCCTGTTGAAATCGAATCCCCCAAGGTCTCACTTTCGAATTTGATAATTTTCTCGACTTATATAATGGGTCTTGATTGTATATCATGGCCCCTAAAGTGTTCGACTAATTGCTTACTGTTTTAGCCGGTGACTCGCTATCTAACAAAACAAGCAATACACATACACGCTATGTTAATTTGATAATCTTGGCTGATTTTAGTTATTGAGATCATATCATGGCATTCGAAATCTAGGATGACTTGACTTGAGATACACATTGTTGTCCATCTGGTAATTCAAATGCCCGACCCTTGCTTATGTAGAAGTGGACATGCTAGTGTGTCTATGGCTGCTTTGAATAAGATGGCTGAAATCGATTTTGTTTGTACTTATTTGCTAAAATCTAAATCCAAAATATCGGTCTTTTAGATTGGTGATGGCTTGTATGGTTTCTTATATTCGTGAATTTGATGATTGTATCATATAAAAGGAAGATTGTGCGGATTTTGTTATCACTTTAAATTATCTCCTTGCTATAAGTATGTGCACTTAAATGTATTTTGTGGGTGTTCATATTTGTTAACTGTATTAATTGTGTTGTTTGTTTTTATGTCAATGACTCAATGAGAGGTGCACAATAGGCCTGACACCTGAGGTTCAGCCTGGTCAAAGACTGGATTTGCTAGGACTGGTCCGGTCAGAGTGTAGCCTGATGGGCACTGTTTCCTCTTGTCTAAAGCAACACTTTGATCCTAAGATTGGCCTGTTGAAAGCACACCCTGCGAGGAAAACCCCTTCCATTCATACTAACATTTATATACAAGTAGGAGCAATGTATGGTAATTCTTTTTGTAAGATACAGAAGAGAGAATACAAGAAAAACATCTCATTTCATGTATTTGACTTCAGTTGAAGCTGTAGCTTGGTTTCATAAAGGATCCAAAACAAGTGCAAAGCCCTTAAAAAGAGTTTGATTTGTTGCTGGAGATTTAGCTGAGACTTCTTGAACTTTGTAAGCAACATTTGGAAATGAGTAAGACAATGTTATTGTAGTGAGAGAGACCCTAAAGTTGTTTAGGTTTAGAGAGAGATTATGAGTGTCTGTTGTTTGAGGCCTGGAGAGAAAGAGAGTAGTATGTTCTATGTAGAAGGCACTGTGAAGGAATGGTCAATGGATTGACCTGCCATTAGTGTATACATAATACATGTGATGATGATTGTTAAAGAGACTAAACAAAGTTAGGAAAAGGAAAAATCTTGGGACTACTGGACTAGGCAGTTACCCTTTTCCTCCAGTAGCCCTGTCTGGCCCACCTGGTTGACCAAGAAGATCAGTCCTGGCCTAATTGCACAAAAGCCCGTTAAGGCTAGCCTGTTCTGAAAGGCTGGGTCTTTTCTGCATCTCATCTGCATATCAAAGTTCATGCTTTACTATGAGATTACTTTAATATCCTTTTTTTGTTGTATAACACATCATCTTCACTTCTCTTGAATTGGGTTTTGTATAAGTAGCACTTTGAATGTGTTTATACACTAAAATATGTGCTTGCAGTTTATGTGCTGTCCAGAGTGTTTGGTATTGGATTTTGTATCATTGAGGTCTAAGTCTAATATGTTTTATTGTAAAATGGAATGTGATATTGAAGCCTATAATAAGTCGTATTGCAGTATTGCTATCACTTTTACATGCCTATGTGATACATTGTTGGTATTCATTTTATATTTATTTATCTAAAATGGATCCTTTTTTGGTGCTCTATTCACCCCATAGTTGCAGCCCCAAGAGTTCCGTATAGTGTAAAAGGCTTCAATTTTCATAAATTTACCACTCAATCTCGTGGACTTTTGTATGCAGGGAGTGTGTTCTCTGTCTAAAATTTTCTACTCACAAGGGTTAGATTACGCTGAATATAAAACGTAGGGATCAAAGAAATGACCTGAAATTGAATCTTTTGCATCCAACGTTAAAAATGTTACCATTATAATTATTTGGTTTGTGGTTTTTATTGGTTAACTCCGGATGGCATCTGTGATGCTGTAACTGTTGTAGAGTTACCTGGATTTATGTATACATGGAATCATTTATAATGGCAGAAAGACTGAATCTTTGTTCTCTGTTATTAAATTATGAAGATATCTTTTGCTGCAAAAGATATCAATTTGATGGAATGGAAAGGAGATATTCTTGCAATTGGTGTCACAGAGAAAGACATGATAAAAGATGAGAACTCAAAATTTCAAAATGCTGTCCTGAAGATGCTAGATTCTCAATTGAACGGGTTATTATCTGAAGTATCTACCGAGGAAGATTTTACTGGGAGGGCTGGACAGTCGACTGTTCTGAGGCTTTCTGGTCTTGGCACCAAACGAGTCAGCTTGGTTGGGCTTGGAAAAGGCCCCACAGGTTCATCTACTTGTGCTTATCGCAGTCTTGGTGAGTCTGTTGCCTCAGCCGCAAAGGCTTCTCAGGCTAACAATGTTGCCGTTGCACTTGCTTCTTCAGAAGGCCTAACCCCTGAATTGAAGCTGACCACAGCTTCAGCAATAGCAACAGGTACATTTTTGTTCTTTATGCTATTAATGTGGTGGTATAGCATGATTTCTTAGATGGGTTTGAACTTAATAATTAAAGTTGTATTATGAAACTTCAATTCTTGAAAGTTTGAATATTGTGTTTTGGATTGTGATAGGTGCATTGCTGGGGACTTATGAAGATAATAGATTTAAGTCAGAGTCTAAGAAGCTGGCACTCAAGTCTGTTGACTTTCTTGGTCTTGGAACTGGACCCGAGTTAGAAAAGAAACTCAAGTACACAGAGGATATTTGTGCAGGGGTGATTTTGGGGAAAGAGCTTGTAAATGCACCTCCCAATGTGCTTACCCCTGGTTTGTTATCCTTTTCTTTTCTCACCTTCCCTCAGTTTTTACGTCGTTGAGTTAGACATTAATCATATGGCATTTTAAAGTGTTGTTTTGGCTTCTTGTTTCGTTTCTAATAATCTGCGCAATCCTTTCTAAATTATTTCTGTTTGTGGTTATAGAGGTACTAGCGAACGAGGCTAAAAAGATTGCTTCAACATATAGTGATGTTTTTACGGCATCAATTTTGGATACAGAGCAATGCAAGGAACTGAAAATGGGTTCCTATCTTGGTGTTGCTGCTGCTTCTGCAAATCCTCCTAAATTTATCCATTTATGTTATAAACCACCAAGCGGATCCGTAAAAACCAAGCTGGCATTAGTGGGGAAGGGATTGACTTTTGACAGGTAATTATTTTACTCATAAATGAGAAAACATGGGTATAATTTTGGTATCTTTCCCCCTCGATTCTCATTAACTCCTATGTGGCAGCAAAATAAGAAGTTGTGGTGAGTTTTACAGGTTAAAATTGAATTTATTGCTATTTTTCTTATGACATACTCCCTTGGTCCCAAAATAAGTGTCCATATTTCTATTTTAGCTTGTTCCAAAATAAGTGTCAACTTCAAGAGCAAGTGTTGACTTTCCAATTGTATCCTTAATTATGAGATGAGAAGTTCTTTACTCACTTATCATTAAAGGGTAAAAATGTCATTTACTTAACTAAAAAGTATAATGATCACACATATCTAAAACTGTGTGCCTTTTTTCATCTTTGACATTTATTTTGGGATAGTAGGAGTAGTAAGTTATAAGAACATAGACTCGCATTACTTAGCATCTCTTGTTAGGACAATTGTCAAATTGTAGTACTCACAATTTGATTCTTGAAGCAAACGGTATGAATCTTGTGTCAATCACCATGGTGTTACCGAAGGAATTATGTCATATTATATCACTCCATATAATTACCCCAACTCTCTTACCTTTTATTTCTAACAACTTGAATAAAAAAGGTTTTAATTTATATTTATTGTAGCCATATCGAACTAATGGGACAAGGCCCTGTTCTCGATTCAGAGTTCACCATTAACTTGTTTAGCGATTTTTGCTCAATTCAGGAATTAACAACTATGTCTGTTATGCCTTTGTCTTTTTTACAGTTATCATGTTTATCATTATACGATTATTGATAAATATCTATCACTTGTTGGTTATTATAATATATACATTTTTAATTTCTTGTAGTGGTGGTTACAACATTAAGACTGGACCTGGTTGTCTAATAGAGCTCATGAAGTTTGACATGGGAGGCTCGGCAGCAGTTTTAGGTGCTGCAAAAGCTCTAGGTCAAATTAAACCAGCAGGAGTCGAGGTAAGACTTTGTTAAATTGACGGTTCAAATATTGTAACGATCTGGTTTTCAGTTTCTTGACCTTTGAAGCAAATCAATGTACAGATTTATATATTTATTTATTTGTAAGAATTATAGTATATCCATACATACACCTATACATACATATATACATACATACATACATTCACTACATGCATATATGTATGCATGTATGTGCATATACATAAAATATACTAAATTTAATATATTATTTTTAATAACATTGTGTACTGATGCTAATGGAACAACATACATAACACTTAATTAATCTCTTAAGTTATATATGAAATGTAGAAGTCTCAAAGACATAAGCAGTAGTTGAATGGAAAATTATTATTGGAGTTTGAAATTGAATGGAAGTTATTGTCTAGACGCAAATAGTGTTAAATTGATTGGAAGTATGTAGTTGAGATTGAGACCATCAAATCAGTAAACCACCTCGGTTTTAGTTGGTTGGCAGTCCCAGTTTCATGAGATTGAAAATCTTGTTTTGATCCCATGGAACCACAGAAAACCGATGGAAACAGACCATATTCAGCACATGATTTTGCTATGCTTTTAAAGTCGTTGTGTCTTGGTTTTCTGATGCACCCTTGTTTCCTATTAGCTCCTATGGTTAACAGTTTATTTTAATATGTGAATTTCTAAAAGTAATCAAAAAAGCGGTATCTTTATGTACCCTATGATATATATTTGGCTTTTGGATATTGGCATTGCAGGTCCATTTTATTGTGGCAGCTTGTGAGAACATGATAAGTGGAACAGGTATGAGGCCTGGAGACATATTAACTGCCTCAAATGGGAAGACAATTGAGGTACTTCTTCTTCATCTTGTTTATATAAACTCTCGAACATATTCAATAATCGAGCAATCCAAGGGTCAAGGTGAGCCCTGGCCCCTTGACTTTGATAAGTGACTAATTGGCCCTTTTAAGTTCAATTAAATACATAATTGGGCTCATGTAAAAGCTTGAACTTAATTAGTAGCCATACCAATACTTCCCTTTGGATATTCTATAAAAATTGGAACATTTTCTTTTTCCTAAAGATTCCAAGTTAAAATCACTTTGTTGCCCACTATGGTCATTAAATAAATTAATGTTACTCATTTGGATTCACAAGATTTTGTTGTATATCTTTATTAAAGGTTATTGTTGATATTTGACGAGTAGTCAAACATTATACATGGATGATGTGTCAAGTCAAACCCTCAATGTTCATGGGGCACAAGGAGTACACAAATTGCTTCTTTTTTAAGTTCAATTTTGTAAAAGATTGTTATAGAACAAGGAATACTAACAAAAAAAGAAGAGAGACTGTAAATATAGACGTGCAGGGTTCTGATGATAAATTCGAAATTTGCTTTTCTTTTTATTTGCGAATCCATCTCTGGCTTTCTGCATTAGTTTAACACAATTAATGAATGGTGTCCTGTGGTTTATGGTTCAATTATTTTCTTGTATAGCATTTGTAATATTTACAGTACCCAACCATGAATTTTTTCGAGCTTCGTCCAAAAAATAACGAGCTCTTTTTTGTACATTGAATTTTTATTCCACTTGATATAAAATTGGAGTCAATTTGAACCTAAATTTTTTTGGTGTAGTTTTGTACAATAGTCCATTGAGAACTAATGTTTCTACTCATTTGATTTCGTCCCTTAACAGTTGGGTGGTGGCATTATGGCTTAAACTGTCAGCATATTGACCAACTATCCAATTTTCATGAAATTTATTACACTTGACTCCTTGTTTTTTGGTTTTCGATTCCTTGATCATATAATTAGAGCATAGATCAGCTTGGAGATATATATATATATATATATATATATATATATATATATATATATATATAGGGTTGGGTTCCAGTGAGAATGGAAGTTATGATGAGAAGGGTAAGAAGGGATCTCCACACTTGGATAAATCCTAATTGAAGATCAACACTTATGAGATGCACCGAGATGCATCAGATCAATTCCTGTGAGAAGCACAATTCATGGTGAGGTTAAAAGTGATCAAGAGTCCAAATCCCTTCTTAAACTTCTCACTTTAACTCTTATTCTCACGCTATCCTTTGTGTGTATATATATATATACACACACACACTCGGGTTTAGGGGAAAACCACAAAAAATTGGAAAACTGAGGAACACTTTCTGTAGCACATATGCATAAAAGTAATTTAAAATGCTTCCTGGTTTCTTGTGAAACTAAATCAATATCATCAATTTCTGTAGCCATGGCAATGTGCAAACAAACGATTGTGAGCTTGAGAACTTTCCAGAACGGAAATGTTGCAATTATGGAGGTGGTGGCTCTTTGTTTGTTGTTTTTGCATCGAATTATAGACGTTTCTACTTATTGCGACTTTGCAAGTACCATGATCTGTGTATGTATATATATATATATATATATATATATACTAGAAGGGTACTCGTGCAATGCATCGAGACACATTTCCATTTCATTTTATTTTTTTATCTATGTCGATATAATACGATTTTATGTGGTTTTGAGAAAACGATAATGTTTTTATTTTTGAATAAAATATAAATTTGAAAATATCATATAAAATTTGCAAAAAATATATCAATATTAGTATCAAATTATCTAATTAAAAGTTCTTGTTTGTTTATTTTCTTTTAATTCAAATTTTTTATTATAATTTAATTTAATGTAACGAAATAACTTAATTTAGGATTAATTATATTTTTTTATAAAAATAATAATTAAGTATTCTGTTAGAACCCAATAATTATCCTAATTATATTTTAGATTTTTTATATTTTAAAATGAGATGTTTATCTGCTGTTAGTTACACGAATTCAAACATAGAGCTTTAATAAGTTGTACTTATGCACAACTTACTTATAATCATGAATTTTAAGTAATATGCATTAATAGACAGTACTTTATGCAAAAAAAATGTTTTTAAGAGTTCTTGTCAAATGCTTTATAATATAGTATATATATATATATATATACTTATTAGGAACCTACCACCCTTTTTGTGAGTATTCTTGATGAATAACCTGATAAAAAATCCATGATGAATGTCGTTACAAATATTCATCATGAATACTCACAAAATTGGTGGTTCATGGGTGTCTAGAATACTGAAGGTTCCTAAATGAGCCTTCCCCTTCTCTCTCTCTCTCTATATATATATGAAGTTCTCATTTCTACACCAATCAAAAAGCATGTAAGAACTATAAAAACACGAAAATAAGAAGTTAGGAAATATGCATAAGTAAAGATTTGCAGCCTTGTTTAGATACGTTCTTAAGTTAATTACTGATTGTGCTCTGGATCCTTCCCTTCATTGTTTCAGGTTAACAACACCGATGCAGAAGGTAGACTTACACTTGCTGATGCTTTAGTATATGCTTGTAACCAAGGCGTAGATAAGGTATCTCTTCTTTTCATTCAATGGCGGCATTTCTTAACGTTACTTTCAGGCTGTGTTTTTGTTCATAAAATATACTCCCTCCGTCCTAAAATAAATGTGCACAATAAAAAACACAGTTTAAGGAATTAGTAATTTTTACACTTTTTAATTAACTGAATGACAATTTTATCCTTAATGATAGAGTCAAACCCCTCTCTCTTTCTCATCAACTCTTAAATATTTGCGTATTATAATCAAGGGTGAATTTGGAAATTTAGCAAATTATAACTGGCTGTTTTTGAAAATGTCCCTTATTTTGGGAAAAATTTAAATAGAAACATAGACGCTTATTTTGGGACGTAAGGAGTATTTTTTATGATTTTTGCATCGCATAAAATCATTGTTTAGGTCACTTTAATCATGTTTGAGAACCGTCTCATGCGGTATTTAATATTTTTTGCAGATAGTTGATTTGGCAACTTTGACTGGGGCCTGTATAGTTGCGCTTGGCCCTTCAATTGCAGGTAACATGTTATAAAGACGTATCCTTGTGTCGGTTGCTTCTCTGTGACCGAAAAGCCATGGAAGTGGTTTCTTTGCAAGTACGCAAGGGAAAGGCTGTAAAAAGACTTCCCTGCCCAATCATTGCAAAAGACACAGAGCCTTGGTGCACCAGGGTGCGCCTTTTAATACTACAATCATTTGAATTACATGGTGTTTAGCAAAAAGGGTATGGCACAACCCTTTGGAGCCGCTTCATCGTACGGGTCCCACGACCATCATCTGGAGGTAAATTGTGTCCCCCCAGGAGTAGGTGGGTTTCGATAGAGTCAAACCTCAAACCTCCCCAGTCGTTCTGCAGGGATGTCGACCTTCTTACCTGCTATGCTAAAAGCTGTAGGGACATTACGTAGCATCTGTGAGAATTACATTTCAAATTTTGAATGGGAACAGGAGCTTGTTTAACTCAGTACTTGAACTAAGTCTGCTTGGAACTGGGATTCATGGGTGTACAAGATTTGTTTTCGACACATTCAAGATTTATAACATCAAAAGGGTAGATATGTCATTTCTGGAGTCCTTTAATAAGGCCAGATTCAACCCTTGGGGGTAGCTCAACATGACAAAGTTGGGTTTCCTCCCCATTGGTCAACAGTTCGAGTTCCATTAGGGATAGTGAGGTTTTCCTGGCATTAGTTAACTATAGGGCCCCATAGGATTAATCGAGGTCTGTGAAAGCTGGTCCATACACCCACAATTATCAAAATGAGAAAAAGAATGCCAAATCGTTCCCTTGAAAATTGCACTTTTAACGGGTCACATGATCGGCAAATAATTGAGATCAATTATGAAACTGTTTCAACTTTGAATATTTGTTCCCAGATCAATAATTAGTAGTAAAGAACTGAGATTTCTTTAACTGTACTGTACACATGCTCTGTGTACTGCTTTTTCCACAGTAAAATATCTGCATTGATGTTGGTTTTTTCAGGCATCTTCACACCCAGCGATGACCTAGCAAAAGAGGTGGTTGCCGCCTCAGAAGTTGCCGGAGAAAAACTTTGGAGGTTGCCAATGGAGGAGAGCTACTGGGAATCCATGAAATCAGGAGTTGCCGATATGGTGAATACCGGTGGCCGCCAGGGTGGCTCTATTACTGCAGCCCTTTTCTTGAAGCAGGTATCCTTTTTGCCCATTTCAATATAATTCCTATTTAGTGTAATAATGAGTTTTTTCTCCTCAATCGATGTAACAAAGTTTCAAACTTATTTATTTTGTACATATTTTGACCGTTGACCTGCTAATCTTGTAACATTTGATGATGATGTGAACACTGGTTTATGAAAGGGCTAAAGTGGATGATAAATTTGACTTCATGTCATCGAATTTTAAAAGATCAGCTGGTTACTGTTAAAATGGGTAAAAACTATGAATTTTAAAAACTTCGTTACATTGATTTGAGATTAAAAAAATCTTCGTTATTACCAAATAGGAACCAAGGCAAACCTCGTTGCATATTTTTCAACGATAGACGGCATTTTTGTAGCTTTTTTCTTTGATTATTTTTAATATAGCCTACCCTGCTCCATTTCAGTTTGTTGATGAAAACGTTCAATGGTTACATATCGACATGGCTGGTCCTGTCTGGAACGACAAGAAGAAAACTGCAACAGGGTTCGCCATTCCTACTTTGGTTGAATGGGTTGTGGCCAACTCCTCTTAAAACTTAGTTATCTGTCCTTGGGACACACAGTTTACCTCTTCCATAATGATTGTGGGACCGGTACAGTAGGGACGTTGTAGAGGGTGGTGTCATACCCTTTTTGCAGAATGAAAAACAGTCTTGAAATGTTTCAACAAGATTAAAATATGGGGATTCTTGAAATGACTTTGTTATATCAAGGGGGAAAATAGAACTTTTGGTCAAGATTTGCAATTTTCAGTGTTTTAAACCTCAGGGTGTTTTTTTTGTAGTTTTAGGTAAATAAACTTGTATGAAGGTCATTTCTACAAACAAATTTTCTAAGCGCCGTTTGCCAAACACTTATTCAGTAAGCGTTTATCTAGTAAAATTTAACACTATCAATTACCTACCGGGTAAGATTTTAGTCTATTAAAACGATATCGTATGCAACAATTTATCTGATAAGCACTTACCATGTGGTAAGAGTCCTCATCCTCACTTATCGGGTAAGACTCTTGGTTTATGTCTCGCTCTTATCGGGTAAGATTATTGGTCCTTATTATATTCATTCGATAAGGTAATGTAACTTAGTAAGCACTTACTTAGATAAGCGTTTAGTAAACGGGCACTTGGTGTTTTTTTCAAGATTTTATAGAAAGATGGTGTTTTTCCACTAGAGGGACATGTCACTAAAGGTTATGATCTATTTTCCACTAGAGGGACATGTCACTAAATTACTTTTTATTAATTGATTTTACAAAACGAGTGTTTTTAACTTTTTTTTAAATATTATTACAACCACAATGGTGGTATCTGATTGGTTTGAGCTTGACTCCAAAAATCAAAAGCACCAGAAGATCTCAGGTTTAAATCCAAGGAGGAATAAAAATCTTCTTGTGGCCATGGAGGTTCAAATGCGGTGATTTCGGGTTATCTGCAAAGCAGGTGGTCGCCTTGGACTTAGTCGGCTAGCATAGCGGGTTAGATATCTAGGTTAATAAAAAAAAAATTATTACAAATAAATCATATGAATTTTTGTGAATACTGACTACCCTCATCAGATTTATAAATCCAGTTGTGGGATTTCAATTCCTCAGTTTCTTTTAAGTCAAAGGTGGAATTGAAATGAAATTCATTCGCAAATTTCTTACGTTATAAGGCGAGAATAATGGTAAGATGCTTGAATTGTTTACTAGGATTAACGACCTGTCGTTACGTGTTGTCAATAATATTGATGTCGACGTGGAAGTTACAATTCTTAAATCTACCATTTAAAACGATGTTTTTGAAAAACGCCATACCATCATAACTTTCGTCTCACCAATCGTTATCACTTTACTCTTCTTGTTTTTCCTTTCGAGGCTGACGTCTAGAATAATGTACAAACATTAATGCAGTAAATATGTATTGCCATAACAGTATTGTACACCAATAGTGGTTTTATATTGTTAGAGCATCTCTAATGGATAAAGGCATCAATTTTAACACGAAGCTTAGTTTTTATATTGTTTCCATCTGTAACGAAGACATTATAATTTCACTACAACAAAATTGGGTTTATAGAACGTCCACAATCTTTAAATGTCCCAATAGACTGTTTTTTAGGACTTAATTTATAGGACCAAAATAAAAAGTGTCTTATCTAAAGGTGTTGTAATAAGTTTATATGACGTTTTTGGGAGTCTTAACAAGTTTTTGAGGACATTTTTTATACAAGATGTCGCATTAGCAACTTTATAGGACACTTTTGAGAAATTATCCTATAAACTCAATTTTTTATAGGACAGTTTTTCAAACAATGTTCTATAAAGTTGATAATGGGACGCTTTATATTAAAAGGGTACTAAAAAACTTATTACGACATCAAAAACTGTCATATAAACTTATTACAATACCTTTAGATAGGACACTTTATTTTTTTGGTCCTATAAACTAAGTCCTATAAAGAGGTCTATTAGGACGCTTATAATTTGGGAGTGTTCTATAAACCCGATTTTGTTGTAGTGTTTATACTGAAATGATGTAAGGAATATTATCAGATAATAGAACACCAAATTTGATGTAACACTGTTTCTTTACACCGTATTTAGTATTAAGGCTCAAAAATTTACAAAATAGTTTATGTATTTTTATTTTCCTTTAATATATAATAACATTTTAATTTTTACTTGTTAAATATATTATATTTTAAAGTAGATTTTAAGATGTGAAAAGTATCTTTTAGAAAATATTAGTTTTTGAGAATGTAAAAGGTTGTTTGTTTACCTCTTAATAGTTTCATTAAGAGACAGACTCTGAATCGTTAAGAGCTGAATCTTGTTTAGCAAAAAAAAATCTGTCTCTTAATGGTTCTAAAACTCTCTTAATGATTTTGTATCTTGTGCCTCTCTTAACCATTAAGCGCCCTAATTTCATTGTAAACAATTACCAAACAATTATATATCATTTTGCATTATATCATGAGAATCTCTTAATCATTCTGACCACTTAATCATTTTGCACCGAATCATTCAGCAACCGTCAAACAGTCCATAAATAATATCTTTTAGAATATACCAATCAAATAGCGTAGATACATTACGTAATATGCCTATTTATTGGTTGACATTCATTGGTTGTAAGGGGAACCAAACCGATTCAATCATTTATTGGATGTTGGATTTTACCAACTGCTCTGGTTCCATTAACATTGGATAACTGATCCAATCCAATCAAATGGATGATTGGATCGGTTCGGTTCTATTCATTGGATATTTTTATTGGATATCCAATGGATGATCCGATAAGATTGGATCTATCTAGTATGTTAATTCAATCCAATTCTCTAACAATGATACAAATTAATTAATCATTTTAATATGTGTTAAAGCCAACACAAGGGAAGTTATAAATTTAAATCCTCACATAAAACAAATTCCGATTTAAGCAACTTAAAAATAAATTAATTGGATAATGATTGGATGGACAACTGGATGATCATCAGACGATTAATTGGATGTTGATCGGTTCGGTTTTGGTCAGTTCTAGATTGTCATCCGAGAACCAATCGATCCAAATTGGATGTTGAAATTTTCAATCCGATCCGACCCAATTACAATTGGATATATAATTATGGTCGGTCGGTTCTAATTGGATCAATCAATTCTAATTAGATCGGTTGATTTTTTGTACACCCCTTACGTACAACATACATCAGAATGAATGGGACTTGTAACGATTGACGAACAGATGTGGTACAACCATAGATGCACAACGTACAACACTTTAATGAAGAAGCATCAATGAATTAAGTCAAATGGTCAATTATTGGCAATTATACTTGTACTTAGGACAACAGTAAAAGGTACAACTATTAATGCATAATGTAATTTATGTGAAAATGCATAAAGCAAGACCGTTTCAAATGGTTACGATTCGGTAAAGGTGGACCTAGAATTTTTTGCAATAGTGGTACTAGAAGCTCTCGATATCCTTTACTAGATTGTCAATTGGTATTTTGGTCAGTTCATTGTTTTTTGTATGTAATGTCCTGTGTCCAGGTCTTTTTTTATCCCACTTTAAAGAAAAATAATAATAAATCTGAAATTAAAAGTTAAAACTAACAAAATGATATAAATGAGATTTGAACTGGCCCGGGTCAGGAGCTGGATTTGCGAGAGGCACCAATCAGGCATTTTTAGGTCGGGCTTTTCAGACTTTTTTGGGTTTTTCAGGTTGGATTTCGGACTTGGGCTTTTTTGTGCAACTCTACCTATACCTCGTTAAACTCAGGACAATGTGCAACCATAGATGCATAATGTACAACACATGATGCAGAGTGTTCGCATTGAGATTGGATGGTTTTGACGTTTTGTTTTGTTTCGTTCAAGCAACGAAACCATCCTCACGCTACTTTTGTTCAATAATTTCCGAGAAAAACCGGATATATCCGGTCATTACCCTTGTTAACTATCATTCTTACCCCCTAAACTCTTAATTAAGCTACCAAAGAACACCCTATACTATTTGCAATGATAATAACAACCCTATTTAAAAAAGAATCAACTTCAAGTGAACATGATTAGGCATGTGTATCGTTAAACTGTAAATTATCGAACAATCTGAAAAATCCGATTTTCTACAAACCTGACTAACAAATCTTTGGGCTCAGTTAAACCGATTTTGGTTTGATCGGTTTTATATTATGAGCCTAAAGGGCAAGAAAAACCCCTCATTAATAATTTACGAGATTTTGATTCATCGAATTGGATCTTTGTTTAAAGCGGAAATAGCAATGAAGAAAATGAAATAAAGTGTAGGGACCTTTATTGGCTAAATTCAAAATAAAGGGACTGAAATTGCTCAAAGAAGGAAAAAGAAAAGAAAAAACTAAATGCAAAAGTACAACAATTCCTCTCTCTTGATTTGCTTTGGTTCCGGCTATCACTCATCATTTGCTGCTGCTACTGCTGCTACTGCTGCTGCTCTCTTTCTCTCTCTAGAACGCACTTTTCTCTCTCTAAAAGGACTACTGTAGAGAGAGAGAATCACACACATTCTCCTTCTCAGAAGGAAGACATCTTTCATTTCCGCAGGTACATTTAACATTGGATCCTAAGCCATTTTGTTTCTCATTTTTCTGTGTTTATTATTTCGTGTATCTGTATCCACCCACAAGAAAAGAGACAAAAATGTCTGCTTTACCTAAAAAATTGTAGAAATTATAAGCAAAAAGGACAAGGCCCCTTCATATTTCGCTCTCATTGAAAGTGTGTCATAGAATTTATCTTTTTCAAGGCTAATTGATGCCCAATTTGAAGCACAGCTGTAGATATGTCCATAAATTAATTTACCTGATGTGGGTTTCTATTTATTAATACCCACCCATGGTGTGTATAAATTATGATGATGTCTGTATAAAGTTACCAACTTTCTTGATTTGGGTCAAGCTGCTGATTATGTTTTATGTTTGACCAGGCATTATCTCGATGGGATGTTGATGAGTTTTCAAAAGACAGGCTGTACATGGAGGTGAATTGAAGGATTTTGTTGGGTAAATATTGAGGAGAAGATTACAATGATGTACTGATTGATCTCTTTGCACTGAATGGCGAGTAAGTTTGAAGGCCCACAAGGTGTTTGAGATTTGGTTTGTGTGAGATTTGAAGGGTCAAAGATTCAATCTTGGTTTTGGTAAAGATTGCGGTCGATTGGGTACTGTGCATTCAGGGTTTACTTTGAAAGGATCATGATTTGTTAAGATTTCAGAACTGGAAACTTTCTTTCAAGGGTTTAATCTGGTATTTTTGTACCACCTAAGTGGGGGTTAGAGAGCTACATTTCTTCATATTTGACCAATTATTTGGAGGCTGAATAAGATTTGTTTTACTTTTGATGTCTGGAGCTCCAAGAGTTAGGTCTATGAATGTGGCTGAATCGGAATCAAGATCAATCCTTGGGCTTGCTGGAAACAAGGCTGTGGGTCCCATAAGCACACGAAAACCCTCATCAAAATCATCAAGAAAGATCGAAATGTCACCAGAGGAGGGTTCTATTGGGAGAAGGAATGGTGGGATTGCAGCATCATCCCCTCCTTTTAGTGCCACTGGCGTTCCTTCAATATTACGCAGACAGGTTTCACTCAATGCTTCGTGTTCTTCAGATGCGTCTACTGATTCATTCCAGAGTCGGGCGTCAACTGGTAGGATATACAGAACAAGTAGCAATGCTAGAGGGAGGAGGCAATTGGCTTCAAAACCAAAAACCGTTATTGTTGATAATGCTTCAGAAACTTCACCTGATGATTTACAACCCAAGAAGAGGTGTGCTTGGGTGACATCAAGTTCAGGTATGAACATGCTATTCATTCCATATTTGATTTCTTTCAAGTGCATATTTCACATATATCAAGTCAAATCAAAGCACATATGTTATTCTTGTAATATTATTTCCATCTTTATTTTAGAAACCCCTTCTAGTATAAGTTACTTTGATCATACATTTGATGGTTTGCAAAGTGGATAGGTTATATTATATGCCATGCTACATTGTCTATTTAGCCGAATGACCTTCTCAAAAACTGAATTCAAGCATCCAACCCTCTAGTGTATTGCTAAGTTTTTCAAGGGAGCAGACTGTTTAACATGAGAGGTAGGTCGGATGAAGATATTGAACTAAAAGAACTTTTTGAATGTCATGCTTATAATTGAAAACTCATTTAAGGTCATTCATCCAAAGGACGAAGGATGTATTCAGTTAATTTGTTGCTCATTACATTCAGAATAAGAGTGTCATAATCCGCATATCAAATTGTAACCTTCGGGATTGGTTGTTGGTTGGGATTGTTGAAAGATGAGCCATCCTATAGAACTAAAATATCTGATTATGTCGATATCTTTCAATTTATGTGTTGTAATTCTTCCGACTCCTACAAAGATTTGTACTTAGCTAGTCCAACGTTTTCTTTGCTTCCAATTTTGTGAAAGTTGTGCTCATCTTCAACTTGTATGCTGACTGGTTTGCAACTCTTAAACTAGATCAATCCTACGCCGTTTTCCATGATGAAGAATGGGGAGTGCCTGTGCATGATGACAAGTATGTGTACACAACAATCTTGAGTTTTGATATGTTACTTATCGAGGTTTATCCAAGTCCCCGTTTCCCACCTCAAAAAGGCCACTATTTGATTAATTATTTCATTTGTTTACTTTAAATTGTTGAATATGTAGAAAATTATTCGAGCTTCTTGTGCTTTCTGGAGCTTTGTCAGAACTTACATGGCCTGCCATCCTTCACAAACGTCACCTTTTTAGGTACTTTCTTGTCGTTGTGTAATCTCTTTTGACATCTTTTGCCAAGTGTTTTCTCTCATGAAATGGTTCTCTTCATGCAGGGAAGTTTTTGCAGATTTTGATCCAATGGTTGTTGGAAAGTTCAATGAGAAGAAGCTAGTGGGACCAGGGAGCGCCGCAAGCTCTCTGCTATCAGAACTTAAACTGCGGGCCATAGTTGAAAATGCTCGCCAAATATCCAAGGTAGATCCTGTAAATCCCAATTATTAATCTGGTAGCTCTTATAGCTGTCATCTGGTTGTGTTTACTCTAAGTTTGATAAATCATATATAGATTAATCAGCCAATGTAACCAAGATTTTTCATCTTGTACTGAAATCATCACTAAATGATCCTTAATCAAGCTTCAACTTCATGTTTAGAGGGCAATAAATGCTTGAAAAGTACCACTCTTTTGTGTATATTTGTGATTGCATTTCAAGATCCAAAGGCTGAAAATGCATTTAAGTAGAGGGGTAAGGCAAATAGGCGGATTCTTGCAAGATCTTAATGCTACATAGCATAGTTGAGTTAAAGATCACCCATAATGGATTTTCTTGAATCCTCTAGTTAGGCCAGACTCAGGAATTTCTATCTCCGGAAAAGGGGCTAGCCTTTAGCATATCTTTCTTCACACAGAAACAATCTCTCTATCCTTTGAGACAAAGAAAGGTCAGCCTACATCCTACCCTCCCCCGACCCTACCTCTGTTTGAGATTTGTTGGTTTTTTTTTTTTTTTTTTTTTTTTTGGTTTTTAGTATCCCCATTGGATTGATTACCTTCAGCCCTTTAGTTAGGGCAACCCCCTTTCCAGAGCTGAAATTCTCAAAATAAGACCAATTATGCTTTAGCAAGTTGTACAATTGTGCATTACAAGTGTAGCTTGCTCTTGATTTGGGAATTTTTAAGTATGGAAAAGGGGGCTGGCCTTTATTATTGCTATCACTTTTATTATTCATGATATGACATATTTGAATGAAATGATAAGTTCTGGTAGAGTAGGTGCGAATGTAAATTAATGGTGGTCCTGGGATTTGTTCAACTTGTATAATTGTTTATGTATTTTCTTTGTAAAGTTGACCCAAGATTTCACAATTTTGCATCTTTCTTTGAGGTGTCACCCTCATTCATGCAATGCAATTGCAAGCTGATCCTTCTAACATAATGCAATTTGGTGAGTTGGTGAAATAAAATGGGATTCTCATATTTTTGTCCCTCTAGTTATCTGATTTTAAAAATGTGATCACTCTATTTTCGTTTTGAAGTATTCGATTCTTGTGAGTTGGTTTCATCAAGAATGGTACACTCGCCGTCATTGTCCATCCAAAATTTAAGACTAAACTACATTTTAGTCCCTGTGGTTTGTCAGAAATTGTGGATTCGGTCCCTGTTTTGTTTATTACGTCGGTGGTCACTGTGGTTTCCAAATCCTTACGGTTTTGGTCCCTGAGCCTAACGGTCATTAGTGGAGGCCGGTTAAGTTCCCTCATGTAAGGAGCACATGAAGGCAATTTTGGTCTTTTTACTTATGAAATGTGACAAGACAACAGCAATTGATGACATGGGTTATTATTATTATTTTCTTAATTATTAATTCAACCGCCACCACTGTGACTGAATGTAAGGGGACTTAACTGTAGTCCGCTAACTGTCTCATGTGTCCATCCAAAAAGACTAAAATGCCCTCGAGTGCTCCTCATGTGAAGGGACTTAACCGGCCTCCACTGTTGGCTGTTGGATGAGAGACCAAATTTCTAAGGATTTGCAGACCATAGTGACTGTCAATGTAATAAGCAAACCACATGGACGTAATCCATAATTTTTGACATACCACAAGGACCAAGAGTGTAGTTTACTCAAAATTTAATTTACTGCTGTTTTTGTTATATGCATATTCCTTTTTTCATACTTGCTCAAAAGGGTCTTAACATAACAGCCCCATACCCCTTAGGGAAGTGGACTGGTCCCACCTGTTGACCCCTCCTCTGGATGGGATGTACTGAGCTCGTTTGGTTTGGTTTGGTTTATTTGTTGATGCATGCCATTGTAGTCATGTGGGTGCACATGTAATGCGATGTGTTCATCTTGTCGACAATTTTAACAAATTTTGGTCCGTGGTAATATTATCATTTGTGAAAGTTTACCAAAAGAGCTGGCTAAGTGCCAACTAGGATGAGAGGTCTGATTGGGTAAGAGGTCTAACTCTGGTAAGTGACTAGAATTTACTGTTTACTGAATGTTTTTTGTATTAAAAGATATAGGATGGCTTGTTGGGTATATTTCTTGCTAGTTAGGGTATCAGCAACCAGGCTTTATGGTTCTTACTATATGCAGTCCTAAGTTGTACAAGCAGCTTTAAGATTTGTATGCTGTGCAGTGAAAGTTGTATTTCTTAAAGGGTATCAAGCAAAGCCTAACTTTTTGCAGGTTTTGCCAATGTCAGGTCATAGATGAATTCGGATCATTCGACAAATACATCTGGAGCTTTGTGAACTATAAGCCGATAATTAGCAGATTTCGATATTCCCGACAGGTTCCGGTGAAAACCCCGAAAGCCGATGTCATAAGCAAAGACCTCATAAGGCGGGGGTTCCGATGTGTGGGTCCCACAGTCATCTATTCGTTTATGCAGGTGGCGGGTATAACTAACGATCATATCTGTAGTTGCTTCAGATTTCAGGAATGCTTGTCGATTGCGGAATCCGAGGAAGTTGCATCGATCAAAGTCAAAGAAGATCAACAGAATACCGATAAAGCAATGGAATCGTGCATATGCGACGCCATCGAGGACTTGAATTTCTCTTCCGGGTAATATGTACTTATGCTACATTCGAGATAGTTTATGTATGATGATCGAAAAACACCCATATCTGTAGATTTACTATTATCGAAACCGAATTTCTACAAAAATGACTGTTAATTATGGTAACAAGTTTGTATAGTGGGAAAGATTACTGTGGTTTCACTTCAAACGACATGTTTTATTTACCGATTGTACTATCAGGGTGCGTCTAGTACGTGGACATGACTGAACTTGACGGGCGAGAGTGAGCTAGGTGGGTGAAAGAACTGCCGAATGTTTCAGGATACTAATTTGACATGAGTAGTTTAGTAATTTATCAATCCTGTCTCATCTCCATATTTTTGTTCCACCTATTTTAGTGGGACCACACAGATCTATTCATATCCTATCCCAATCTAACATCACGTCAAATCTCAAATGTGGGACAAATGACATCTGTCATGTCGTGTGTACCAAACGCACTCTTAGGTTATTAGGGTTGGGTTCCGGTGAGAATGAAGTTCTAGTGACAAGGATAAGAAAGATCTCCACCTTTGGATCAATCATAATTGAAGATCAACAGTAATGAGATGCACCAGATCAATTCTTGTATCAAACGCAATTCATTGGGTGGAGGTGAGATTAAAAGCGATCAAGGGTCTAGATTTTTTCCTATCCTTTTTATCTTTAACTCCTATTCTCACACATAATATGCTTTCTCTAGGTCACTATCTATCCAAAAGTTGGGATATAATTGCTTATTAGATGAACGTGTATATCCTTTTGCTGATATGATGTTTTCACATCATTTCAGTGTTAAAAATCCACAAAAGGATACACATGAAATCGTTAAACTTTTGAATGGAAAATGAGAAACGCTACCATCGTTAATGAAAACTTGAACGAAGGGATTGAATCGTTTAAAACTAAACCATATGGACTAAATCGTTCAAAGTTAAAACCACAGGGACTAAATCGTTCAAAGTTAAAACCACAGGGACTAAATCGTTCAAAGTTAAAACCACAGGGACTAAATCGTTCAAAGTTAAACCATGTTGATTGGTATTTTAAAGGAGGGTGAGACTAAAATCTTAAATGGACCTCTTCCATGCCCACATACATCAACTTTTACATTTCAAATGTTATGATTCGACTTTCAAAAGGTTTAAGTAGCAGATGTTTAGGGGTCGTTTATCAAACATTATTCGGTAAGTGTTTACCGGTAAAATTTAACTCTATCATTTACTTATCGGGTAAGATTTTAGTCCACTAAAAAGACATCGTATGCCACAATTTACCCGGTAAACGCTTACCATGGTAAGAGTTGTCGCCCTCACTTACCGGATAAGACACTTGGTCCTTGTCTCGCTCTTACCGGGTAAGATTCTCGGTCCTTACCATATTCATCCGGTAAGTTAATATTACCTAGTAAGCGTTTGATAAACAACCCCTAAATAACACTGCAAATATTTCAAATTCTGTATTCGAAAAACGTACAACTTTTATTACATGAGTTACAAACAACAAGTTGTGTTTGTCTTTATTTGTGACAAGGGATGATGAGTAAATTTCTTTTGTTTTGTGTATCCTTTTGTCGACACACAAGGGCTCCATGGTTTTCAATTTGAGTTTTGTCTTACTCTTGGTGTTTTGTGCATCGGCAACTTGTACCCGATGCTAGCGGTGAAAAATCCGCCGTTACCAAAAACCCTAATTCGCAAATGATGACAACTAAAAGTAACACGTGTCGAGAGGTTCACGAGATTGTTTACAGGGTGAAAATGACTTGAAAAACGAAACTGAACGCACCATCCAACTACAAAAGATTGAACCAAACAGACACTAAAACCGTTTGAGATATCATGGAGCGGAACAGTGGGGTCTAAGGCAAACGTGTTCACTTTGAGTACGTACATCCGCTTGTTTCCACACACGTCTATACCATATTGTAATATAAAATCTCATTTAAGCTTATGTACGTAAATATACCTTAATTTTACAAGTATTCGTTAGAAATTTTAATGTTTATTCGGTCGCTACAAATCGTAAATTGAATCTAAGTAATCAGTTTTGAACTCGTCAAACTAACCAACCGATCAAAGGATACTCAAACCGGCTAAGGGGCCGTTTACCAAATGCTTACCCGAGTAAGCATTTACCGGTAAAATTCAACATTTTCACTTACTGGGTAAGATTTTAGTCCACCAAACGGTGTTGTATGCAATAATTTATCCGGTAAGCGCTAACCATGGTAAGGGTCGTCGCTCTCACTTACCGGGTAAGACTCTCGGTCCCTGCTTTCGCTCTTACCGGGTAAGACTCTTAGTCCTTGCCATATTCATCCGGTAAGGTAACTTTAGCGGGTAAGCATTTGGTAAACGGCCCCTAAATTGCTTTGACTTATCCAATTTACTCAAGTTTTTTTTTCACCGAACGTGCACACCCTTAAGGGTGCGTTTGGTACATTGGACATGACATGACAGAACAGAACATAGATCCCTGTTCCATGTTTGGCATGATTTTTATGTGGAACAAACAAGAACAGAGTGAAACAGGCATGTTCCACCCCTACCCCATGGAACAAGGTGGAACAAGATGAAACAGACTTGCATTTTACCAATATAACCTCAAAATAAAACTTAATTATCTTCTAAAACATCAAATAGGTCTTTTTTTTTTACATTTTATTCATTTTTTAAATTTTATTTATTGTATTTTATATTTCTTAAACTTTCATTTTACTGTTTACAAAATATTGTTATTAATTTATGTAATTTATTATATATTAATAATAAAAAAATAATGTAGAAAAGAGATAAAAATAAAAATTGGAAGTTTACGTAAACTTTTTATTTGATGTCATTTTAACTGTTTTGACAAAAACTTCAAATGATATATTCTATTACAAAAATTAATCATTCTATCATAATATAATAAATTACATAAATTAATTACAATAAACAAGTCATCAGGGGTAAATTGGTCATTTTTACTTGTTCTGTTCCATCCAGTTTTATCTTACCAAACGTTGAACAGTTGTTCTATCATGTATTGTCCTGTTCTGTTCCGTCCTGTACTGTCTGGACATCAAACACACCCTTCAAGAAACCTGCAAGTCAATAACCGAAACCACAAATTGATGATGAAAAACTAGAAATCGATAACGACATTTAATGTCGTTTTCGTCGTCGAACATCAATAATAGTTGATGCATTAAAAAGTGTGTATTGTGCATTTAGAGGTGTATTATTATGATTATTGATGAATGATGTCAAGTAGATATGAGACATGGCCTTAAATGAGAGTTACCATAATTTTGTCAAGCTTTTGTTCAATGGCCCATTTTGAATTGAAGCTCAATGGAGAAGTTGATGATTGTGTAGGTGGATAGTCTTCAAGATTGCATCATTTCTTTTAAAATCATTCAAAATTATACTTCTCGAAAGTTATTGAATCGACATGAAACGGTATATACAGCAATACTTTTTCTGGCTTAATTAGGTTTATTGGTCTATCTGGCTTATTTGCACAGAACATGACTTAATCACACAGATAAAAATAATGTGTTGTCACCATTCAGCTATAAAAATGACACCCCTACCCCTTATTTAAAGCACAGTCTCCTTTCCATATGAGACACCCCATCTTCTGCCTCTTTATGATTTTTTTGTTTTGATGTTCAAATAATTAATATTGGGGGTAAATCAATCATTTATGTTATTCAGACTGTTGGTTTAGATTAAAAAAAGGTAAACAACAACACTCATTTATCCAGACAGACAAATTTATCCATAAAGGACTTAATAAAAAATTTGGTAAACAGCCCCTTAAACTGACACAAGAAACTCAACATAAAAGGTACATATAGCAAACCATTTTTATATTAATAAGGTTTTAAACTGATCCAAGAAATTCGATTAGTACTAATTAAGTCAAATCTCTGTTATACTAAGCGCATGGCTGTCATAAGGTAAATTACAGTATCTTAGGGAGAGTGGACATGATTAGATTTAAACCTGAGACCTTACTGTGAATAATCAACCAAACCCGTATTTTTAAGAGTAATATTATATCTTCCTTGGTAAAATAACTAAGAAAATCATGTGTTCAATTTTTTGTATATAGGTCATGTAGTGTTTTGATTTATATGTGACCATCTCTAATAGTAGTGATGGCTAGGGGTGTACAAAAAGTTGGCAACCGGCGAAACCCGTCCAACCCAACCCGCTAACAACCCAATTAAACCCAACTCACCTAACCGTCAAACCGCCCACCCGCCAAACCGCTAACCCGCCAATTAGGAGGGTTGAAATTGGGTTGGGCCTAGTTCAATCCGCCAACCACCGTTAATATATAATTTTTATAAAATTTTATTATAAATATGTTTATTACATATATATATATATATATATATATACATATATATTAATAGGGAAGGGTTCAAACGAGAACCCCTGTGATTTACGAAAACGCGAGAACAACTCAGTAACCACATATTGTGATAAAAAATAAAATTAAAAGATTTTTAAAATTAAAATTAAAATTTAAAAAGATTCAAAAAAATTTAAAATTAAAAGGGTAATAATGGAAATGATATATTATCTAGA